AATCTTTTTCTCCTCCATATTCTTCTTTGAAGTTGCAAGTCGGGAGGGGAACGGTGGTTGAGTGGCTATTGGTGTTACTAGAGGGGTAGACTTCTTTGGAACTCCGACTTGTGCATCGTTCTTGACTATAGGTTATTCAATGGGCATGATCTCTATTTCTTCCTCTTCTTCCCTTGGCTTATTCTTTGAACTAATTTCTCCGGCTTGTTTGCCACTTCTCAAGGTCACCACATTGACATTTGGGTTCTTTTCGGTTTGAGAAGGGAGTTTACCACGGGATTCCAACTTGCTTATATATGTAACTATATCTCCCATTTGTGCTTCAAGGTTGGAGATACTAGTCCTTGTCTCTTTTTGGAATTGTTGGGTACTAGTGGCTAGAGATTTGACAGTGTCTTCAAGAGACATTCCGGAGCTACTTGGTTGAGATTGAGGAGGTTGTTGATGATGATGTGGAGGGTGTGGTTTGGGTTGATAGTGTGGTTGTTGATGTTGGTATTGAGGTTTTGGTGGTGGATAGGACGGTCTAACCAATGCATTGTGAGGTAATGATCTTGGGTTGTAGCTCACGTTGGGATTCGGCTTCCAACTTGAATTATATGCATTTTGGTACCCGGATGGTTTGTTGTGGTAGTTTTGGAACTCTCCCGTGGCATTCACATGCTCCGCGTCTTCTTGAAGGATGGGACACATATCCGTAGGATGTCCCATTGTTGCACATATTCCACAAACCATCACTTGTGGAGTTTGTCCCATGGCTAGATTTTGGACGACGAATGTTAGATCTTTTATTTGAGACTCAAGATTCGATGTTCCCACTTCACTGACTTTGTGTTGTGTGTCTCTCTTCATGTCTTGGCGAGGGCCAAAATGTTGTGAATTTGCGGCTATGGTGTTGAAAAGTTGTCTTGTTTGTTGTGGGGTTTTACTAAAGACATCTCCACCACTTGAGGCATCAACTAGTCTTCTCTCCATTGGCAACAATCCCTCATAGAAGTGTTGAATGAGGAGTTGTTCCAGAATTTGGTGTTGTGGGCAACTATAGCACAAGTTGTTGAACCTCTCCCAATAATCATGGAACATCTCATTTTGACCTTGGCGGATTCCACAAATCTCATTTCTAAGACTCGAGACTCTTGAGGCGGGATAAAATTTCTCAAGGAAAGCTCTTGCCATGTCGGTCCATGAGTTGATCGACCCCGGTGGAAGATAGAATAACCAATCTTTTGCTCTATCGGTCAATGAAAAGGGGAATGCCCTTAGCTTGATTTGGTCATCGGTTGACCCTTGTTGCTTCATGCTAGTGCAAATAATGTGGAACATCTTCAAATGCTTATGAGGGTCTTCATTCTCCAATCCATGAAAAGTTGGTAGGTGATGGACTAAACTTGACTTCAACTCCGAGCCTCCTTCCAAAACTGGGTAATTGATACCGGTTGGAGTTTGTGTAACATCGGTCTCCATCATTTGCCTCAAAGTTCTTTCAGGAACTTCTCCTCCGTCCTCCATTTCAATTGGTTCAATAATGGATGGATTTTGTCGTAGGGGTGGTGTTTCGGGAATTTCTTGGCGAGGGTCGGGACTAGAATCGGGTTCAATATCGCTTAATGAAGCGGTTTCAACATCCGGGTCCCCGTGGGGTTAGAAGTTTGACCACGTTCAACTCGTTTTTCCTTCGCCAAACGCCTTGCTTCTTTTTCGATTTCCAGATTGTAAATCAAGTCATCTGTACGCTGAGATCTGAGCATAGAGAAACAAATTGATTAAAAATAAACCAATCCCCGACAACGGCGCCAAAAATTTGGTGGTTGTCGAGGCCAACACAAATAATAACCCTAAATATTACACAATAAAATAGTGTATAGTGGTAAAGGGATCGAATCCACGGAGATTGGTTCAATTTATAACTCTATGAAAAATCTCTTTGTAAAAATACTTGTAAAATGACAATAAAAATAAAATGTGGGGCTTTGGTGCTTTGAAATACTTGAAACAAACTAGAGTTAACTATGATTTAAATAGACAAATGCAACAAAAATAAGTGTTTGATGTAAAATCAATAAGGGAGAGATGATTGACTTAAAGTTTCCTCACTTTGACTTTTGATGAACATATCATTAGAATCCAATGGTGCAATACTTTGATTTAAATCCTTAATTTGGCTATAGTAATCCAAGGAGCTTGAGATTACCTAGACTTTTCTTAATTGTTGAAATGGCTAGAGAAGCTCATTACAATTTTCTTAGTCAAAGTCACTAATTCCAAATAACATGTAATTAGTGAAAGTCAACTAGCATTAAGAACCAAAAAGTCACCAAATCCAAGGGGAGTCAATTGCTTTCACTACCATGTTGGAGGAAATGTTTTTATGATTGTGTGAAGGAAAAACAACACAAAAATCACTTGTTGCTTGCTAATTTGAGGATCATTTACTTAATCAAGAAATTAGCCAACTAATCACCACAAACATATTTAAACTCATGAATAAAAACATACTAGTACTGATAATATGATGAAACATAAAACATTTCCATAAAGATTCAAGAACAAGTTCATAGATTCTTCAACATCCAACAAAAGTTCAAAGGATTCAACAAAAAGTCAACCAAGATTTGTTTAGCCAAGAATGGCTAAACTCAAATGAACAAAGTTAGATAAGATTGTACCAAACATTTGACAAGATTCAAGAGGTGAAAAGAAGATATTCTTCAAGTGTTCTTGGCCTCCAAAGGTGCTCCAAACTCCAGAGAGAAAGTCTCAAAATTGGACCTCCAAGATAATGCAAAAGAGGCACACCAACCTTCCCAATTAGAGCTCTTAGCAAAATCCCGAAATTACCCTTGTCAGGAATCCACACGGGCCGCGGGGAATCTTAGGCGGGCTGCGAGTACTGACGGCATTTTTGGGCTTCTTCAAGTTTTGGGCCCCCACAGCTAATCCATTGGCCCAGTTCGAGTCCAATCAGCTTCTAGCCCATTTTTCTTCAATATTTCTTCAATTTGAGCCCAATTTGTCTATCCACATCATTCAAAACTTCCGCAAACTCCCAAATATTGATCTTGCATACTTAAGAATTCTCCCGTGTCTTTCAAATTTAAAGCTCAATTCTTCCAAGCCTTCAAGCAATTGACAAGTCCACCCCATGAATCACCTTCATAGCCATCAAGCATGAAATCCCCAATTCCCTTCAAGCCCAATCACCTCCCAAGAGTGCCGCCCCACTAGTTTCCAAGAAAATCTGCACTAATGCTCAAGAAATTAGAAAGTACCCCGAAATGGTCATAAAAATAACAAAAGGGAAAACATGCATGGAAGTTAACTAAAATGCAAATGAAATGTACTAAAATAAACTATAAAAAGAAGTAAATAAAATGAAGCTATCAAATCACCCCAAGCTTAAACCTTACTTGTCCTCAAGTAAGACAAGACTAAATGAACTTGGGACGAACTACGCTAGAAATAAAAAGAATGGATAGAACCATGGAACCTGTTCGACGTTAGTCAACATGGTCAGAATTGATTTCGCTTCTATCTCACAACTTGTTCATCCGATGACAATGGAACCATAACCCACAGCCAGGACAACTCCTTTTGGTGAGTAAGGAGGGATGAGCAGTCGCATCCTCAATGGAACATGCATACAATGAAGAACATCTATAGTAGGGAGAAAGCAACTGGATGAGCTCGGGTGAAGCTCTTCTTTAAGTTCACACTCTGATCTCACATCTGCCAGTTTCTCTCATGTGTAACTAGGTTTAATCGCTCGGGCACCGTTGTAGGAATCAGTTCACTTAGTGTTGGCCCAAACCTCGCGTAGTATCCGACTCGACAGTCTCTCTAACATCACCAATTTGCGAGAAAGAAAAAATAACAACTCGATGTATATACAATAAAACAGACCTATACAAATGAATATCAAACGCTGGGTGACCAAGATGTTGGGAAATTAGTTCAATAATTGAACCGGCCACCTATCTAAGATAGTTGCAACTGAAAATTTGCATGTTTTTTTTTGTTTTTTTTTAACAAGAAAACCCTTTGACTCAAAATTTGGTTCCCAAAGGTGTGTAAGTGAAACCGAAAGGGTAATGATATAATCCGAATGACCTAAGTGTGCAAATGACCATGTGTGGAGCATAAATATGTAATGTAAGCTCCTTTTCAACTTGTGGTTTTTCAAAGATAATGAAAATGTCCAAACGTGGACTAAAAGACTCTCTAAAATTCTAAGAAGATCGCAAAAAGATATGGTGATGTAAAGAGACTGGATATGGATTCTACTCAGGGACAAGCATAGTATATCCTACAGTTGTTAGTATTGTATGCGTAATTCTTCATGAAACTACCTAGCCATGATCACTTACCCCTTTAAGCTACCAGCATCTGATCCCAAGTATGAAATCCCAAACTGCAGCTAGTGGTCTCGGTTCGATGGGTGAGATAGCAAAAATATCCTGGACCAATAATGATACAATAACTGTGAACCTGTTCCATGGCATCCAAGAGAGGTGAGGATAAACAGACAACAAAAATGCATGAATGCTAATGTCGTAAGCTAAATGCAAAAATATAAAAGGTGGAAAAGAAGAAAATAAAATCTGTTTGGAATTTTAAATAAAAATGAATGAAAATTAGCTTAATACTAAAATGTTATGCAACCTAGTTAAAAATACATGAAAAAGTAAAAGATAAGGGAAATGCCCCACCCCAAGCATAAGAACAAGCATGGTCCTCAATGCTTAAGGAAAGGGCGGAAAGGACCTAAATCGGAGGGTCGAGCGGCAGGAAATGCCTGTGATGATAATGGTAGTCCCACATATCTTGGACCTGGCGGGAAGTGGGGGGAAGGACTGCTCCAATCGATCAACGCGACTCGCCACATCTTGGATGGCTCTCGTATTCTCTTGCGTTTGGGTGTCGATACGCTGCACCGTGGAGAACATTGTGGCAAATTGGTCAAAGAAAGTAAGGGGGAAATATGGTGGAACTTCGTATCCCCCCTACTGCTGCGCCTGAAACTGATGCTCGACGAATTGTTGTGCAGGCTGAAACTGGTCATCCTCATCATCTACAGGTGGAGGGAAGTCTGATGGAATGATCCATTGATCGGGATCGGTCGGCTCAAAACTCCCTATATACTTATGAGGGAGAATAAGGTATGGTTGGTTGTCAAGGATCCACATGGGACCGACAACCGAATCCCGGATGAATTGCATTCGGCGAAGTGCGTTGTCGTCAAGACTAGAGGGGCTGGAAGCCTTCTCGAATGGAAGAGTAGAGAGATGAAGTTGAAGGGGTGGCCGAGATGCAATGAGGGTGATTAATCCCCCAATGAAAATGTCTCCTTTGTCCATAGTTGTGAGGTTGTAACACTTGGTGAAGAAAAAGGAGGCAAAATCCGGCCGCGGACCGTTCTCACGAGTCATGCACCAAAGAAAAAATAATTCCGCCTTTGAAATTTGTCCCACTTCGGAGCGGGCGAAAATGGTGCATGTGAGAACTCTATGCGCTAGGCGCAAACATGGGTGAATTATGGAGGAGGCCTTTGACGAAGACGATGAATATTGTGGCTCATTGGTAATTTGTTGCCAAAGGTAATGTTCATTGAAGTTTCCGGGCCATGGGTCTTGTTGGTAATATAGGTTGTCCACTGGAGCACCCATCAAAGCATTCACGACCCGATGTGGTAGAGATCGTTTCTCACCGAGCATTTGGAAGGTGACGGTTTGGGCTTCCTCCTCGGGATTGAATGTGGTAAGAAATTCCAAGGTGGGTTCAACATAGGTGGCGGCACGGTTCTGGAGGAATTGACCCCACCCAATGTTGTTAAATAACGCTTGGACTCCATCGAGCACCCCAAGACTAGCAAAATATTCCCTATGGACGAATTTTGTTGACTAGACTTGACGCTTATTTGAAACGAGAAAATCATAAGTTTTACGATCCTCGCGATTCAACAAACGAAACGGGGGATCCTTGGATTTTCCCTTCGACCCTCCTTTAGAGGAAGTTGCTCCCGTCCCCGTTTTTGCACGCTTGGACATTTATTCGGGACAAAATTTTACCAATAATAACTTTCAGCCACAACAAAGGCACACAATACCAACAACAAATGGGAAATTGGGGTATGAACAATCAAGTTAAAGGAATAAGATTACCCAATTTCTTAGACCCGAGATGAACTAGTGCCACCAAAACGATTTCGTCAACACACACCCCAAGCTTGCAATTTTGCTCCATATTTGACGCTTTAATCGCTAAAACAACCCCACAAACTAGCTTCAAGATGACTTTCCGGTGAATGGAGTAACGGCACCCGGAATTAGATGGAATTTTTTCGTGAGTTTTTGCGGGAAGATTGGTATGACTAGAAAGCTCTTGATGAGAGAAACAAAACCCCGTGCTCGGATTCTCCAATGGTGGCCGGAGTTGGCCGGAAAACTTGAAAGTAGGTGGTGGTGGGTGGTGGTGGCGCCCGGAATTCCGGCCACAGATCAGACCGGAATTTGGGTGGGGTTTGTAGAGGATGAAAAATGGAGAAGAATGGCGGTGGTTTCGTGAGATTCCGATCGGTAGAACTCCGGGAAAATGGATTTTTCTGAGAAGTGGGTTTAGTGTTCTTGAGCTTCTAGAGAGAGAATGGGGGAATTTGTTAGGTTAGAATGAAGAAGAAGGGTGCTGGAGGTGTTTAATCTTTGCTCAAGGAGGGTCAAACCCGGTCAATGTTTGGTTAACTCATTAAATCTCTTGGTCAACGAAAGTCAAGGCAGTCAACAGCTCAAAACATCAGTCAAACGACCAACACGCGGGCTGGGCGCGGGCCGCGTGCCGGCAGCGTCGAGCATGCTCGAAAAATTTCTGCTCATTCACGCGGGCAAGACTCGGGCTGCAGGCTGGCCGCAGGAACTGGTTTGCTAAAAAAAAATTCCCAAGTGCTTCGAAAATCCACGCGGGTCAGGCGCGGGCTGCGGGAACTGGTTTGCTCAAAAAAATTCCCAAGTGCTTCGAAAATCCACGCGGGTCAGGCGCTGGCCGCGGGTACTAAATTGAATTTGAACTTATGCCCACGTGGGCTGGACTCGGGCCGCGTGCTGGCCGCGTCTACTTGCTAGAAAACTTTCTGATCATTCACTCGGGCAAGACTCGGGCCGCGGGCTGGCCGCGGGTACTTCTGCACATCAAAAATGAGAGTTTTCCAAAACACTTGATTTTTAAGCCAAAACGATCCCCTTAAGGCCCGGTATCAAAAGTTTGACAAAATTTGGAGTAAAACGGGGAACGATTGGTGAAACCTTTCAAAAATTTATTTGAATCTCATAAAAACGTTTTGCAAAATGGTTTATTTGAATTTAAAAAATGGTGAAAGCACATTGCTTTCCAAAAATGCCCTTCTTTATCGTCTTTGGCGAGACGTCCTCCTAGCTTTCTTCAACACATCGGGACATCCATATGGATGATTTCAAGGGCATTAGCATTGAAACCTTCATAGAATGGCTTCAACCGGTGCCCATTGACTTTGAAAATTTGTCCCGTCTTTTCGCTTTGAATTTCCACCGCCCCATGGTCAAAGGTCTTAATCACAACAAAAGGTCCAATCCATATTGACCTTAGCTTGCCTGGAAATAACTTCAATCGTGAATGGTATAGTAAGACCGTATGCCCCGCTTCAAAATGCTTCCGGGAGATGGACTTGTCGTGGAAGAGCTTCGTTGTCTCCTTGTAAATCCTTGCGTTTTCATAGGAGTCGTTTCTCAATTCTTCTAGCTCTTGGAGTTGAAGTTTCCTATGCCTTCCCGCCTCGTCAATGTTGAAATTGCATTGCTTGATCGGCCAAAATGCACGGTGCTCTAACTCGACGGGAAGATGACATGGCTTTCCAAAGAACAACCTAAACAGGGACATTCCTATCGGGGTCTTGTACACAGTCCGATAGGCCCATAAGGCATCTTCTAGTCTCAAACTCCAATCCTTCCTTGTCGGATTCACTGTTTTCTCTAGAATAGACTTCACTTCACGATTCGAAACCTCCGCTTGACCATTCGTTTGAGGGTGATAGGCTGTAGAAACACGATGGGTCACGTGGTACTTCTTCAATAGAGCCTCCATCATTTTGTTACAAAAGTGTGTCCCTCTATCACTAATCAAAGCCCTAGGCACACCAAACCTTGCAAAAACATTAAACTTTAAAAACTCGATAACCGTTTTGGCATCGTCCGATCTTGTGGCTTTTGCTTCAACCCATTTAGAAACATAGTCAACCGTGAGTAAAATATAAACGTTGCCAAATGAGACGGGAAATGGGCCCATGAAATCAATCCCCCATATGTCAAAACTTTCACAAACAAGGATTGGATTTTGGGGCATTTGGTTTTTATGCGAAATGTTTCCCGTCCTTTGGCACCGCTCACAACTTTTGCAAAACATATAACAATCGCGTGACATGGTTGGCCAAAATAATCCACACTCAAGGACTTTTCTCAAAGTCCGGCTAGGTCCGAAGTGTCCCCCACAAGCGAATTCATGACAAAATTGCAAAATGGATTGGTGCACTTGTTGGGGGTACACATCGCCTAATGATTTGATCGGGACAATGTTTCCACAAATAAGGCTCATCCCACACATAATATTTTGCATCATTTTTCAACTTGTCTTTTTGAGCATGTGTGAATGTGTCGGGATAACTTTTTGTGACCAAAAAATTAACGATATCGGCATACCAAGGAATAGATTGGGTAAGGGAAAAGATATGCTCATCCGGAAACTCGTCCCGCAACGGGAGAGGAGTTTCATTTGAAGTGATCCGGCTTAGATGATCGGCCACGAGGTTCTCGCACCCACTCTTGTCCCGGATTTCCAAGTCAAATTCTTGTAACAGTAGGATCCATCGGATGAGTTTCGGCTTTGCATCTTTCTTTGTCATCAAGTACTTGAGAGCTGCATGATCCGAATACACTATGACATTGGTGCCAAGTAGATATTGCCGAAACTTCTCCAGAGCAAACACTATGGCCAATAGCTCCTTCTCCATGGTAGAGTAGTTGCTTTGAGCATTGTCTAGTGTCCTTGATGCATAATAGATCACATGGGAGGCCCTCCCGTTCTTTTGACCCAAAACAGCACCTATCGCATAGTTGCTTGCATCGCACATGATCTCAAAGGGAAGATCCCAATTTGGTGCTTGCATGATGGGAGTGGATGTAAGCAACTCTTTGAGCTTGTCAAAAGCTTCTTTGCACGCCTCATTGAACTCGAAATCAACCTCCTCTTGCAAGAGCTGGCACATTGGTCTTGTTATCTTTGAAAATTCCTTGATGAACCTTCAGTAGAAACCTGCATGGCCCAAAAAAGAACGAACTTCCCGAACACAAGTCGGGTCAGGTAAGCTTTGAATAACATCAATTTTGGCCTTATCTACCTCAATTCCTTTTTTAGACACAATGTGACCCAAAATGAGACCTTGACTCACCATGAAATGACATTTCTCAAAATTCAAAACCAAGTTTGTTTCAATGCATCTTTTTAAAATTTTTGTGTGATTGGTCAAACATTCTTGAAAAGAGTTGCCATATACCGTGAAATCATCCATAAAAACTTCAATTATGTTTTCAACATATTCCGAAAAGATACTAACCATACAACGTTGGAAAGTGGCCGGGGCATTACACAATCCGAATGGCATTCTACGGTATGGAAAGTGCCAAATGGACATGTAAAAGTTGTCTTTTCTTGGTCCTCCGGTGCCACTGGGATTTGGTGAAAACCGGAGTACCCGTCTAGACAACAATAATGGGATTTCCTGGCCAACCTTTCTAACATTTGGTCAATGAAAGGCAACAGGAAATGATCTTTTCGTGTGCTTGCATTGAGTTTGCGGTAGTCAATACATACTCTCCACCCGTCTTGCACACGGGTGGGGACCATTATACCTTTGTTGTTTTCGACCACCATGATTCCCGTCTTCTTTGGAACGACTTACACCGGGCTCACCCACTTGCTATCTGAGATTGGATAGATCATCCCCGCATGTAGGAGCTTCAAAATCTCTTTCTTGACCACTTCCATCATCGGCGAATTCAACCTTCTTTATGTGTCCCGTATCGGCTTGCATTCATCCTCTATTAAGATCTTGTGCATACAAGTGGATGGGATCAATCCCTTGATAACCGCAATCGTCCATCCCATGGCTTCTTTATGCTCCTTCAACACCTTGACTAGTTGTTCTTCTTCAAATTCGGTTAAGTGAGTCGAAATGATAACTGGAAGGGTTTCATTCTTTCCCAAATAGGCATACTTCAAGTGTTGAGGTAAGACCTTCAATTCCAATTCAGGTGGTTGAATAAGGGATGGGGGCAATTTTGTATGAGTTGGGGGCAATTCAACTTGCTTGACATCTAATCTTGTGGATTTCTTCATCTCCATTTTATTTACCAGCTTCTCAACTTCAGGATCCAAATAATAAAGCTTTAATTGCTCGCCTAGCTTCCCACAATCGAATCCTTTGCTTAAGATCATCTCCAATATATCACCGTTGGATAACTCGAACAATTCTTGAGTAATTGGATCGACAATATCAACAACGTACAAAGGTGAAACATCACTAGGATATCTCATGGCATCATGAATATTAAAACTTATTGTTTCACCATCAAACTCCATTATCAAACTTCCCGCATACACATCGATCTTCGTCCTAGCCGTCTTCAAAAATGGTCTCCTAAGCAAGATTAGGGCCGATTTGGAGGATACTTGCTCATCTAGATCAATCACATAGAAATCCGCCGGGAAGACCAATTGGTTCACTTGCACTCGGACATCTTCCAAAACACCTCTAGGAAAGACACTTGATTTATCAGCAAGTGAGATAATGACACCGGTTTCACTTAAGGGTCCGACATTCAATGATTCATACACCGAATAGGGCATGACGTTGATAGAGGCACCAAGATCAAGCATAACACTACTAAAAGTGACATCTCCAATCTTGCAAGGAACCGTGAACATTTCGGGATCCTTGCATTTCAGTGGAAGTTTCTTTTGTAAAACC